CCTTTGTAATGCTGGCGTGGAAATGAAAGGAAATGGCGCAGTGATAGTGACATTACAGAAATACTGCACGTCGCCGCTATTAAGCCGTTGGAGGCCCCCGCAATGGGTCTATTAGGGACAGCTATTTACCGGCTGTACTGATTGGGGACCTGGCGCTGGCCGGCCGTCCGCCCGTCTGGAGCAGGTGCGACTGAAGACGGCACGCGGCCGAAGCTGGCTCCCCGCTCGCTCGTCTCGCCGGCTGCAGGCGACCGGCGCCGCGCTGTCCGGTGTCGTCAGCGGTGTGTGTGTGTGTGTGTGTGTGTGTGTGTGTGTGTGTGTGTGTGTGTGTGTGTGTGTGTGTGTGTGTGTGTGTGTGTGTGTGTGTGTGTGTGTGTGTGTGTGTGTGTGTGTGTGTGTGTGTGTGTGTGTGTGTGTGTGTGTGCGCGCGCGCGCGCGCGCTGACCTGGACCGTTGCCGCGCCGCCGGTGTTACTCGCTATCTGTCGGACAGCCCCTAGTCGCCCATTGTCCGCCGGACAGCCCCTAGTCGTCTGTTGTCTGCCGGACAGCCCCTAGTCGCCCGTTGTCCGCTGTAAAGCCACTAGTCGCCCGTTGTCCGCTGTAAAGCCACTAGTCGCCCGTTGTCCGCTGTAAAGCCACTAGTCGCCCGTCCTGCGCAGCACAGCGCCTGTCGCCCATTGTTTGCCGAACAGACCTTTGTCGCCCGTTGTCCCCAACACGGGTTAACACGCGATGTTTGATGCACGATGCTGGTCGAAGCGCGCCAAATGCACCAGTCTGTGGAGATGCGCTCAGTGATAGGCGAGGCACCTCTCGAACCTTTCCTCACCCGTCTGGAATGACAAATGTTATCCTAACTTGCGCTGCTCTGCATGAAGATTCTGTTTGGAGGTTGCGTTGACCGGCTGCGGCCCTGCCGGCAGGTGTGGTGGCGCTGCAGTTCAACCTGCCGTTCATCGGGAAGGGAGGCTGGTGGAGGATCCGGGTCAACGTTCGTGGGCAGCTGGAGGAGAAGCTGATCAAGCTCACCAAGTACTTCGTGCCCCAGTGGGAGGTCAGCCGCGCCTGGTGCCGCTCCTCCAACTCAGGAGAGCTCACACACACACTGGCTGGCAAACTGGCGGATTACAGCGATGAGGGCTATGTCGAGACACACAGAGCAAGACGGATATAGAGCAGAGTGGAAAGGGGAGGAGCAGGCGCTGTTCTCTTAGCCCGCTGCCTTGACGACACTTAAAGCAACCGGCACAGAAATCCACATCCGAAGCTGATAACAGGCCTTAGCTGCTACAGCACTATCCTGAGCTATCCGATAACGTCCTAAACGATCGATTGGCGTTGAATGAGCGAATGTGCTGGTGTTGTAATAACAAATGCCTGCTGTCGATGTTTGCTTTAACGCTAACGGCGTTCTGCTGTCAGACACAACTTGGATGCGTTATTTGTTGAATAATCTAGATTCCGCAGCTCAGTCAGACGCCACGCGTTCTTGAGATGCCCGAGTCTTCGTCGCTCTGAGCCCGGCTCCGATTCCTGAGAGCTAACGATTCCTTCCGGCAGGCGTTCGTGTGGATGCCGACCTACTTCCTACTCTCGGAAGATGCCATAGCTGGCGAGGTGTCCGCCGCCTACACCAGTGACAAGGTCATCAGGGGTAACGTCACACTGGAGCTGCATGCGAAGCCCGGCCCGCCCTACGCCGACAAGAACACCCCCTACACATTCATCACCTCGTACGTCATCCCGCAGGTTAGTCGTGCCGATCAGTTTGGGATGGTGCTGCCTACCAGTTACCCGGTGTGTCACATAGCAGGCTTGTCACGCCCGTAAGCCGACAAGACCGGCTGGAGATGTTGAGGTGGTTGTGGGTGTCAAGATCAGCTTTACAAATACCAAACTAGGTCCACAGTGTACAATAGACATGATGGAGCCAAAAGGCTCTGGAGTTCTACACACCTCCCTGCTTTTCTGCGCTCTGAGCAGGGTACATCCACCGGGTGCAACAGATGAATGCTAAAACTGCCTGACTTGGATTATCTGTGGCTCCAGGAATACCCTGCCTACACATCAGCATGGGGCGTGGCCTTAAAACATTACCCCGCCCATCAGGACGCGTCAGAGTCCTGACATCTAGAAGTGAGGAGGGGAGCGCTGTTACGCTGATCGCCTGGATGCCATGGTGGACGTGGCCACGTACATGGGCCAGCCGCGAAGCTCGTCACATTCCATGCTGTTTTCCATGTCAGCTCAGCCCACCTCGCTGTTGCTATCACTCCACACACTATGGTTGATCAGACTGACCACAGACCGACGCATGCCTCATTTTAAAATAAATTTATATCTTTAATCAATTCTGTGAGCATAAAATGCGATGCCGGGGGTGGTTACAGTCCCCAGCAAAACATCACTGTCAGTTACTGAGCAAGTTTGTCGCAGCTCACTGAAGCCATCAGAAACACTGTCGGTTGTATTTCCTTTATTACACACTGGCAATTGTAAGCCGCACGCGTCCCCAGTGAGTCGTTCCGCTTGGCATGTGGACCTACCCTACCTATTCACCGGATAGCATCAGCTAGAGTTGCGTGCCCGCGTCGGCCGTCGGGTCGGAGCTGCCGGGCGGGTGACATCCGCACCAGCTGTCGGGTCGGAGCTGCCTGACATCCGCGCCAGCTGTCGGGTCGGAGCTGCCGAGCGCGTGACATCCGCGCCAGCTGTCGGCTCGGAACTGCCGAGCGGGTGACATCCGCGCCAGCTGTCGGGTCGGAACTGCCGAGCAGGTGACATCCGCGCCAGCTGTCGGGTCGGAGCTGCCGAGTGGGTGACATCCGCGCCAGCTGTCGGCTCGGAGCTGCCGAGCGGGTGACATCCGCGCCAGCTGTCGGCTCGGAGCTGCCGAGCAGGTGACATCCGCGCCAGCTGTCGGGTCGGAGCTGCCGAGTGGGTGACATCCGCGCCAGCTGTCGGCTCGGAGCTGCCGGGCAGGTGACATCCGCACCAGCTGTCGGGTCGGAGCTGCCGAGTGGGTGACATCCGCGCCAGCTGTCGGCTCGGAGCTGCCGGGCGGGTGACATCCGCGCCAGCTGTCGGGTCGGAGCTGCCGAGCGGGTGACATCTGCGCCAGCTGTCGGGTCGGAGCTGCCGGACTTGTGGCACCTGACAGGACCTCCCGTCTGTGTAGACAGCATCTGATCCGCACAGGCTCGGCTTTGCTGTCCGTCGCCCGAGCCGTGCTTGTTTGTCGGTGGTCGGTCTCATCGTACCGAGCGCCACCGCACGGTGCCATTCGTGACGAACAAGCAGCACGGCGAGCTCGTCTGGGCCGCACTGAGGTGTCCTGTGCCTCAAAGGCCCTTCAAAATACCACCGGTGTTTCGTGGAGCGGCAGCCCGTAGCCAGCTGCGCCTCGGGGACTGATGTATCATGGCAGTCGATCGGAATTCTCCGATATGACTCGGACCTCGCAACTTCACTCGGAACTTTCTGATGTTACGCCTTAAGCGCCATAACGATGTAAACGGTGTTGTAAGCTCCCATATGTGCCTGTTGTGAGCACATGTGGTCACTGGAGCACCAGCCCGGGTCACGTGACCTGCCATGGAGAGCACCCGGTGTACCTTGCGGTCTAGCGTGCGCTCCTGTGAAACTCCGGGAAGGCATGCGCGCAAAACTTACTTGGCACGAGGTATTGCGACTTCACCCGCGTTCAGGTCCGGCCACGTCAACTGAAGTTTTGCTTCTTAATGCTTAATGTCCATGTGCTCCTGCAAAGGGAAGGCTTAACTCGGCAAGTTGAGAGCTTACCCACGACCGCGTGCAGAGCAAGTCATCGCGAGCACTTCCAACGATTGCTGGGGGGGGGGG